AGCCCGTGCGCCACAACTACTGAGCCTGCGCTCTAGAGCCCGCGAGCCACAACTACTGAGCTCCCGCGCCACAACTGCAGAAGCCCTCACGCCTGGAGCCCGTGCTGCGCAACAAGAGAAGCCACCGCAATGAGAAGCCCGCTCACAGCAACGAAGAGTAGACCCTGCTCACTGCAACTAGAGAAAGCCTGCGTGCAGCAACAAAGACTCAGTGCAGCCAAAAATAATAAACAAATAACATAAATAAAATAAGTAAATAAATAAAAATTAAAGAAACAAAACAAAAAAAAAAGATGTGGCTGGTGTGAATGAGGAGCTGAGCGTGTAACTGCATTTCATTTTAGTTAATATGCATGTAAATAGTCAAATGTGGCGAGGGCCAAATGATATCAGACAGCACAGCGATGAAACAGGAAAGTGCAGCAGAAAGACGTGTCCACTGGGAATTCCCCAGTGGTCCAGTGGTTAGGACTCTGTGCTTTCACTCCCAGGGCCCAGGTTCAATCCCTGGTCGGGGAACTAAGATCCCTGCAAGCCATATGGAGCAGCCAAAAATAAAAAATTAAATTAAAAAATTAAAAACTATAAAATGAAATTAAAAATAAAATTTGAAAAAGTTGTACATGAATTAAAATTAATTCACGTGTTAAAAAAAAAGAAGACATGTGCCCACAGAGCAATGAAAACAGTAGCTAGGATTTAAAACTGAGGCCCCCAAATTAAGAAAAATGGGCACGAACCCGTGTCCCCTGCATCAGCAGGCAGACTCTCAACCACTGCGCCATCAGGGAAGCCCTCACTTTCCAGTTTTGATTACTCAGGAAGAGTTCAGGGGAACAAGATTCCCTGAGTTCATACTTATTATATCTTATACACTTCTAAAATTTTAAGATACTTTATGGGGCTTTCCTGGTGGCGCAGTGGTTGAGAGTCCGCCTGCCCATGCAGGGTACACTGGTTCGTGCCCCTGTCTGGGAAGATCCCACATGCTGCGGAGTGGCTGGGCCCGTGAGCCATGGCCGCTGAGCCTGCGCGTCCAGACCCTGTGTTCCGCAACGGGAGAGGCCACAACAGTGAGAGGCCCGCATACCGCAAAGAAAAAAAAAAGATACTTTATTATATTGTGCTTATTATTTGAACTTTTTATAATTAATAGTTTCGCTAGATATAAAAATTTCAATTCATATATTCTTGCTGGTGTATCTTAAGTATGTTACTCCATTTTCTTTTCACATAAAGTGTTACTGTCAAAAAGTCTGATGACAATCTAATTTAAAGTCCAGTAATTTTACTACTGTACGTCTTCTTGTTGGTTAGTCTGGGTTCATATTCTCAGGTATGTGGTGTTTCAGTGTATTGTTTGACATCTTTTTATTTCAGGAAAGTTGTTTTGAAATTCCAGTCTTTGATATTTGTTCTGTTGTCTTACTTCCATTTTCTTCTTAGTGTCTCTTCTTACAGTCTTAGTACCACAGTCCTCTTCCCCCAGTTTGATTGCTGTTTGTCTTGTTTCTCAGCTACCCAGAGCTGAAGCCTGTGCAGTCTATCAACGCCCATCCATCCAACTGCATCTGTATCAAGTTTGACCCCATGGGGAAGTATTTTGCCACAGGAAGCGCAGATGCTTTGGTCAGCCTCTGGGATGTAGATGAGTTAGTGTGTGTTCGGTGCTTTTCCAGGTAAGCAACTCTGCCAGCACTTTCCTTGTTGGATAAATTCGTTTTATGTCATGTTGGGTGAAACTGGGCCCTCCTCTCACTGGGTTATTTTAATGTCTCCTCTGTCTACTCTGTTATAGGCTGGATTGGCCTGTGAGGACCCTCAGTTTTAGCCATGATGGGAAAATGCTGGCATCGGCATCGGAAGATCATTTCATCGACATTGCTGAAGTAGAGACAGGTAACTATAATGAGACTCCTCTGTCTTTCATTTCTGGCCATCAGGCCTTCTCCTGTCATGTATTTTCATCTCTGCTCATTACTACTTTGCCAGCATTAGTATAAATGGGTATTAGCATAAATGTCAGCATTAGCACAAACTCCTTAAGGCAAGTTTGCTTATTATGACTATTATAGTCAGGTAATGGAGGGAGCAAAGAGTTAGGAAAGAAAGGGGCAGGTCTGAAAGAGTGATTAAAGAAAATATTTTACATTTTATTCAGTTTTAATTCTTCCATTATAACAAAATTTTTAAAATACAGAAAGGGAGAAGAATGGATGGATGGATGAATGAATGAATGATCCCACCATTTAAATACAACCTCTTTTAGCATTGGCGGGATATTTCTATCTTTTGCCTGTATGCGGACTTAAAAAATACATATATACATTTTATAATTTAAGAAATTATTCAAATAGATGTGATTTGTTTTAAAAAGCAACAAAACAGAACTTGAAAATAGAAAAATGAGAGGTGAGTATTCATTTTACAAAAGAATTTCTCCAGATTTATTTTTTAACGTAGCTTTATTGTTTTTGGAAATACATGATACTTTATTAAAAGAATTCAAACTATATAGAAAACTTCAAAGAAAGTAAAAAGCTTGACATTCCACGATTTAAAGAGTGCCACTCTTGATAGCATTTTGGTGAGCATTGTCCAGCCATCCAGACATGCAGCTCCTTCATGTCCCCTTGTGTTCATGTGATGCAGGCATGCTCTCCTGCTGCTCCAGGGCCCTCCCTCCTCACCTGCAGGATCTTACAGCTTCTTACATGGTGATGGCTGTTGAGCTCTGCTGCTGTTTTTAATGGGGTTTAGAATTCCATTGGCTATACCAGTATATACCTAAGCCGCCCCACTCTTAGATGGCTTCTGGTCTTTACACCATTATAAATGATTCTTTGATGAGTATCATTTTACTTATGTAGTAATCCTTTTGGGTAAAATTGGGATTGCTGAGTCCAAACTGCTCACATCTTGTCAGGAACCAAACTTCCTTACAGAAGAGTTATTGCAGTGTTTACTCTCAGCAGCAACGCGTACATGGAGTTAAAGGCTGAAAGGGAAATGGAAGGGGAGTAGCAGCCTCTGACACCATTTTTTATGTCTGTGTAACACAGAAATTTGCTCAGACATGTGGCTATAGATTGCCAGATCCTAGCATTATGAAGAGTGGTTAACTGTCCCTGAAATAGATTACTTAAAAAAAAAAAAAAAAAACTATATACAAAGCAGAAACAGACTCACAGACATAGAAAACAAACTTATGGTTTACTAAAGGGGAAAGGGAGTGGGGGGGGGATAAATTAGGAGTATGGGATTAACAGATACAAACTACTTTATGTAAAATAAATAAGCAACAAGGATTCACTGTATACTGCAGGGAACTATATTCAGTATCTTGTAATAACCTGTAATGGAAAGTGATTTGAAAAAAAAAGAAAAAAAATCAAAACTAAATCACTTTGCTGTACATGCTCTACACCTGAAACTAACACAGTATTGTAAATCAACTATACTTCAATAAAAAAATCTTCTTTATACATATACACACAAATATGTATATATGCATATGTGTGTGTGTGTATATATATATATATATATATATATAAACAGCTTTATTCAAATACAATTCATATACCATACATACACCAGTTTGAAGTGTACACAATTCATATACACAATTCTTACACCAGTTTGAAATGTATAATTCAGTGTATCATGCATTTTTAAATCAGCACCACACTGTGAACATTCTGCTACATTAATCTTAACTCTAAGGTTGAAAAAATGTTAAGCAGGACTAAAAAAAATGGCTTTGGAAAAATTATGTTTAATTTCCACAAGTAGGAAGAACAAATTTTTGGAAAAAGAAATCTATTTGCAAGTCATTGTGGTTTAGTAGAAAGCTCTGTGGCTTTGGAAACAGGCTGACTTCCTGTGCTGACTCTGCTGTTTCCCTTTTTATTTCCCCTGCTGCTTCCTTGAGGTGTGACTTAACTGTTCAGTCACATTTTTCTTTATAAAATGGGGTTTAAAATCATTACTTGCCTTGCTGGATTGTCATTATACTTTATTAAGATAAAGTATAATCCATCTGATTCATAAGGGGTGCTCAACAAACAGCTGCTGTTGCTGTTTTTTCAGGAAGGGTAGAATCGGGTTCAGAGCACAGGCTCTTAAGTTAACTGGCCTGCGTTCACATCCTGCTCTGCCACCTACTGCCTCGTGACCCCTCTGCGCCTCAGTGTTCTCTGCAAAATGGGGTAGTAATTGTACTTATCCTATAGGGTTATTAAGCAGATTAAATGATTTAATGTAGGTAAGTACTTAATGAGTATGGTCTCTTATTATTAATGTATTGATTGGTTTCTCTATATTGATTTTTATAGGAGACAAGCTGTGGGAGGTACAGTGTGAGTCCCCCACCTTCACCGTGGCTTGGCACCCCAAAAGGCCTCTGCTGGCATTTGCCTGTGATGACAAAGATGGCAAATATGACAGCAGTCGGGAAGCTGGAACTGTGAAACTTTTTGGGCTTCCTAATGATTCCTGATAGGGGGACATGATGTATGGAGAAGGCCCAGGCAGAGGCTTCCATTGTATAGTTAGTTTGGCCTGTTCTCTTGGAGTTGGTGGGCACCTAAAGTATTTATAAATTGGTATAAATTATACAAGTCTTTTGTCAGGCTGCCCATTCCAGTTTCCTTTGTATTTGTTATGGTAGCTGTTCCCATTCCTTGCCCCCTGCAGGAGGGCTCTGCAGTGATGACACCAGCATACCTTGTCCTGTCTTTCTGCTTTTGGGGATATGGTGGACTTTGTTGGGCTTGCTTCTGCTTGCCACCTAGTTTGAAGGGGTGGGTGAGGAAGGGTGAGATGGGGATGGAGACTTTTTATAATAAAAAAGAAATACATTTACTGTTGAGAATTGAGCATTTAAATAAAACTGACTTTTTAATTATGGGACTTCTAGGACTTTAAAAATTATGGTAACATTATCATTATTATTTTCTTATGTTTTTAAAAAATTTTATTTTTTTATTAATTTAATTTTTATTTATTTTTTTGTTATCCATTTTATACATATTAGTGTATACATATCAATCCCAATCTCCCAATTCATCACAAGACGACCACCCCCCACCACTTTCCCCTTTTGGTGTCCATACGTTTGTTCTCTACATCTTTGTCTCAATTTCTGCCCTGCAAACCAGTTCATCTGCACCATTTTTCTAGGTTCCACATATATGTGTTAATATGCAATACTTGTTTTTCTCTTTCTGACTTACTTCACTCTGTATGACAGTCTCTAGATCCATCCACGTCTCTACAAATAATCCAATTTCCATTCCTTTTTATGGCTGAGTAATATTCCATTGTATATATGTACCACATCTTTTTTATCCATTCGTCTTGTCGATGGGCATTTAGGTTGCTTCCATGTCCTGGCTATTGTAAATAGTGCTGCAATGAACATTGGGGTGCATGTGTCTTTTTGAATTATGGTTTTCTCTGGGTATATGCCCAGGAGTGGGATTACTGGGTTGTATGGTAGTTCTATTTTTAGTTTTTTAAGGAACCTCCATATTGTTCTCCATAGTGGCTGTATCAACTTACATTCCCACCAACAGTTCAAGATGCTTCCCTTTCCTCCACACCCTCTCCAGCATTTGTTGTTTGTAGATTTTCAGATGATGCCCATTCTAACTGGTGTGAGGTGATACCTCATTGTAGTTTTGATTTGCATTTCTCCAGTAATTAGTGATGTTGAGCAGCTTTTCATGTGCCTCTTGGCCATCTGTATGTCTTCTTTGGAGAAATGTCTATTTAGGTCTTCTGCCCATTTTTGGATAGGGTTCTTTTTGTTTTTAATATTGAGCTGCATGGGCTGTTTATATATTTTGGAGATTAATCCTTTGTCCGTTGATTCATTTGCAAATATTTTCTCCCATTCTGAGGGTTGTCTTTTCTTCTTGTTTGTAGTTTCCTTTGATTTGCAAAAGCTTTGAAGTTTCATTAGGTCCCATTTGTTTATTTTTGTTTTTATTTCCATTACTCTAGGAGGTGGATCAAAAAAGATCTTGCTGTGATTTATGTCAAAGTTCTTCCTATGTTTTTCTCTAGGAGTTTTATAGTGTCCAGTCTTACATTCAGGTCTCTAGTGCATTTTGAGTTTATTTTTGTGTATGGTGTTAGAGAGTGTTCTAAATTCATTCTTTTACATGCAGCTGTCCAGTTTTCCCAGCACCACTTATTGAAGAGACTGTCTTTTCTCCATTGTATATCCTTGCCTCCTTTGTCATAGATTAGTTGACCATAGATGCATGGGTTTATCACTGCTTTCTATCCTGTTCCATTGATCTATATTTCTGTTTTTGTGCCACTACCATATTGTCTTGATTACTGTAGCTTTGTAGTATAGTCTGTAGTATAGTCTATAGTCTAGAGTGGAGAGGCTTCTATTGATTGTGTGATTGAGAGCTTAGAAACACCTTGAGGCATATTGTACTTACTTGGTTTTAGGCACTGTTGGAAGGGAGGAGGGAGAGGAAGAGAAGGAACTTGAACTCCAGAGGACAAAAGGCTATACTGACATAAACCTGAAGTAAACTAAGCTATCGGTGATTTTTAACCTACTATTGGTGAGGAAGAGAAGAATCCACTTAAACTTGACACTATAGATGTCCCCCTTTTCAGTGACACACAGGGGTAATGACCACCTGTCTAATTTGTTGTCCAAACCAGAACTTGTCCAAACTCCTTAAACTTCAATAGTGTAAGAAAGCACTCTAATGCTGTAACATCAGGACAACAGGTGTAAACTGGAACAGCCCAAGGCGGCTTGGGGTATGTGGTCACCCTGCACAAGGGCAGTGACACTGACACAGTATGGAACGAGGTGTAGTCTATACACAGAGACACAGTACATCTGCAGTGGGCAATATTAATTTCATTGTAACAATGGCAATACTGTCTTGGTTTGCAGCTTTTATTGTCAACTTGCATGTAATAACAAATAACTAACCTAAACTATACTTAGCATGTATTTGCATTAACTTGGTATGTACTGAAATGTACTAGTATGTACTTAGTATATATTAGGCTCTAAGTGCTTTTGCATATATTAACTCATTTAATCCTCTGAATAGCCTTATGAGGTTGGTGCTAATATCATTCCCACTTTTGTGAAAAGGAAGCTAAGACAGCGTAGGAACTTGCCCAGGCTGTACCTAATTTAGGGTTGGATCGAGGCTTTGAGTTTAGGCTCTTCCTGTTGTCTTAAACCTTACTGCCTACTGACTCTCAAATAACAGAAGACTTAACTGCACATAGAACAGAATATAAATTTCAACTTTGACAACGTAAAAGCTAGGTTTGGAAGGTAGACAGGAGGTAGAAAAAAGGGAAGATGGTCTGAATGTCCTCATTTTACAAAGCGTGACGTTGAGAGAGTTTATAGTTGATCAACAATGTAGGTTTTTAAGTATATCACTACAAGTCAAAGAGATCATGAGCAGTGGAATAACTCATGGTAACATAACTTTACTGAGCAGTGTGGACATAGGAAGAGTGTAAAGGAACTAAATCCTTACTTAGTAAAATAGAAAGTGAACAGATAATGCCTCCAATTTAGTCAGAAAATGGTCATGTAAGAGTATTACTTGGAAATGGGGAAGAATTCAAAATAACAAATAGTTGGACCTCCCTGGTGTCACAGTGGTTAATAATCTGCCTGCCAAGGCAGGGGACACGGGTTCGAGCCCTGGTCCAGGAAGATCCCACATGCTCATTTTAAGCCCTTCACTACTGTTTGCATTTGCATGTTCATTCATTCAGCATTAATTGAACATATTCTATGTACCAAGCACTCTTCTTATTTCACATGTGTTTTAACTCATGTAATCCTCACAAGAGCTCTGTGATATGGGAGCTTATGTCCATTTTATAGATGAGGAAGTTGAGGCCTAGAGTTATAGAACTTGTCCAAGGTTATATAGCTAATGGGTAGTGCCAGGCCCATTTGCCTCAGAGAATCTGAATTTTTACAATATAATCTAAAAGAGAAATTTAATTACTAATTATAAGCAAAAAAATTGCACATTAAAGATGACAAGTTTTCATCTATCCAGTTAGAGAAAAACACACAGTCTGTCTTTAACACACGTACATCTTGTATTGGCAGGGATTTTCCTTATTAAGCAATTATTTATTGACCATCTACGTTGTGCTAGGCACAGGTGCTGGGGATAACCACTTAATAAAATACACCCCCTATCTTCAAATAACTTGCACTCTACGTGAGGAAATAAGCCAACAGTTGTAGTAGAGGTTATATACCAAGTGATACATCGCTGATGGCAGTGTAAAATCTCTTAAAAATGTTCATTTGCTTTGACCTCAAACTCATTTTTATGGATTTATTGCAAGAACGTTATTCTCAATATGGAAAAAAGCCTTCATGCATAAAAACGGTTATTTTGTCTTATAATATTGAAAAGTTGGAAAGAATTTAAATGTGTAAAGTGGTTAACCAGTAAACCCACTCAGTGGAATATTTTGTAGCCCACACAAAAAAATCAAGGTTATGAATCCCGATTATATGAGAAATGATTGATTTCAATGTTAAATGGAGAAAAGGTGAACATAAAATTTGATATCCAATGTGATGGGAGCTTTGTCCCAGAAAAGTCACCCTAGCCGGTGTACAGAAGGGAGGAAGGAGAGCAGATGACAGGAAGGAAAATTATTCCAAAGCCTTATCGTTAGTCTTACTTAAGTAATAGAATATCAAGCAATTTTACTTTCTAACTTTTTTGGTTCCATATTTCCATGTAAGGGACATGAATTATTAATACTTTGTGGGAGGAGGGTACACTTTTTCACAAAAATTTAACACTGTCTTCTAATTCCCTCCACTAGAGGGTGAAAACTATCTCATGTAATTTCACTTTGATGTGCTATTTAGAACCAGTCAGGAAGTTTTACTCTACTTTTCTCTGACTGTGGTGAGGGTATTTTTGTTTGTTTGCTTATTTGTTTAGAAATTCTTTGAAATCGGTTTTAGACGATTTATTAAACCATTATATTGAAAGTAGAGGAATTTTGCAATTTTTTCCCCATTGAAAACTTGGCTGGCTTTAGTAATGAAACTTTAAAGAATTTGAAGTTCTTAGACTCTCAATTTTTTCAACATGTTCTGAATATAAAAATATATGTTCATTGAGCAAATGTTTGTAAACAATGAACAGCTTCTTGAAGGAAACAGAAGCCACCTCTGCATGTACACACACCTAATCTGCTCTTTTGTCTTAAAAAAGTATCAAAAATATTTTGCCATGTCACTAAATACTCTTCTACATCAGAGAATTTGATGAAGCTTATGCATCATCTCCCAGGAAAAACGCACAGATATATTTTGAATGTAGAACTCCTGAAGCCCATTCATTAACTCTGGTTGAGACCTCTTGTCATTCTTTTCTTAGTGGCTTCATAGCGCATTCCTTCAGACGGTGAGCTGTTTTTCTTTAAACCAGTCCCAATTTGGAGGCTCTTAGCTTTCTTCTAGGGTTTGGTTATAAACAATCTTATGACATCATGTTGGTAGATAAATCTTTGGCCACATCTTTGATTTCCTTAATCAGGGTAAACTCCTGATGTAGGATTGTTGTTAGGTACCAAGAGCTACTCTCCAGAAAGTGATACCAGTTCCTCTCCCAATGATGGCATATAATAGAGTTCCTCATTCTTTAAGTGATTGTTCAAAGCACTTAAAAGGTATAAATACACCGTACTGTTTTCATAAGTATAGGAATTCTGATTGTTTATCGCTGCATAAGAAACCACCCCGAAACAGTGGCCTGAAACAATGACAATCATTTATTTTGTTCACAAACCTGGAGGTTGAGTAGGATATTGATTCTTTTACAACACTCTTACTGACTGAAAACAATACCTATTTGACTAGCTCACAGTTGTGCAGGTCAGAAGTCCAGGCACAGCGTGACTGGGTTTCCTGCTCAGATACACACGGGAACATGTGAGTTCCCTCCTGAGAGTGTTAGAGCACGTGAAATTGAAGTGTAAGACATTGAGCCCCAAACGTTGGATGTTCACCATAGTTTGTGTGGGTCACAGAGCTGAAATCAAGATGTCAGTCTGGCTGTGTTAGCATCCAGAGGCTCTGGGAAAGAATGGCTCCAGGCTTCTTCGGCTTGTTGGCATAATTCAGATTCTGCAGTTGCAGGACAGAGGTCCCCATTTCCTTGCTGGCTGTCATTCGGGGGACAGTCTCAGCTCCTAGAGGCCTCTCGCGTGCCTTCTCTGCCACAGCATCGGACTTCTTCAGAGCCAGCAATGGAGAGTCTCCCTCTTGTCCCTTTTGTACTTCCATTCAGGAAGAGTTCAGGTCCTTTTCATGGGCTGCCTGAGGAGGTCACATCCACCTAGAATAATCTCCCTATCGTAAAAAAACCAACTGATTTTGAACCTTAATTCCGTCTGCAAAATCCCTTCACTGCAGCACCTAGATTTAGAGTTTGATTGGATAAGTGGAAGGTTTGTGTAGTTCAGTAAGTAGGAGTCTTAGGGGCTCTGTTAGAATTCTGCCTATTGCAAGCAGTGTCCCCACTTCACGGACCGAAGTGTCATTTCCTGAAACTCCTGAGAGAGTTTATCAGTGTTCATTGTATTTCAGTGACCTTGGTGAATGGGAAGACTACCACCTCCTTGAGCAGGAATGGCCCCCAGCTTCCTGAGTCCACAGTGTGGCTCTGCTACTTAGTGGTGTGACCTTGGCTGTGCTGCTCTACTTACTCTACTTCTCTGCCTCTGTTTCCCTCATCTGTAAACTAGGGCTTCCCTGGTGGCGCAGTGGTTGAGAGTCAGCCTGCCGATGCAGAAGACGCAGGTTCGTGCCCCGGTCTAGGAAGATCCCACGTGCCGCAGAGCGGCTGGGCCCGTGAGCCATGGCCGCTGAGCCTGCTTGTCCGGAGCCTGTGCTCCGCAATGGGAGAGACCACAACAGTGAGAGGCCCGCGTAACGCAAAAAAAACCCAAAAACATGGAGTTAGCGATCGTTCTTTCCTCGTAGGGTTTTTTGTTTTATACATTTTTTTACTTATTTATTTTTGTCTGCATTGGTTCTACGTTGCTGCTCGCAGGCTTTCTCCAGTTGCGTCGAGCATGGGGCTACTCTTCGTTGCAGTGCGGTGGCTTCTCTTATTGCAGAGCACAGGCTCTAGGCGCGCAGGCTTCAGTAGTTGTGGCACGTGGGTTCTAGAGCGTAGGCTCAGTAGTCGTGGCGCACGGGCTTAGTTGCTGCGCGTCATGTGGGTTCTTCCCAGACTAGGGCTCGAACCCGTGTCCCCTGCACTGGCAAGCGGATTCTTAGCCACTGTGCCATCAGGGAAGCCCCCTTTTAGGGTTTTGATGATTAGATTATTTCATACCCAGGGAACTCCAGGAACAGTGCTTGACTGTGAATTGCTTTAAAAGTGATTACTTTTTAAAAACATGCTTTTGAATCTGCAGTTAGGCAATTCAGGTATGTTAAGCATGTTCATTACTTGGACTTCCTGCTATAAAGAGACCCACAAATAAAAATAGAATTTTTCTTTCTTGGTCTTAACCTCTTATTTCTGACTTACTATGTTATACGCATATGCCTTTTATGGTGGGCTGCCACAAATTTATGTTGGAAAGAGCAGACTTTAAATAAATCTTACCTATGCTAATTTGATAGATTTTGATAATTCATTTCACTAGCATGGTATGATATTACCAGTAGCAGACTAAAATCCGAGTTCACTTCTGGCTCTGCCCTTAAATCCTGATGAGACCAATAGCTGGAAAGGCTTTGGGATATTATACTATGAATTAGTTATAATATTGACTCTGTTTAGGAAAACCTGGAGGAGTGCCTAAAGCAGTTAAAGGAGGAAAGAGTAATAAGACTGAAGGCTGATAAAAGAGTCAGTGAGGTAAACAATTTTCTTCTTCTGCTTTAGAGAGTGTTTTGGTTTTATTTTGATTTGATTTTAAGCCATATAATTTGTAACACATAATTTGTAAGCTTTAAAACTGTAATATGTTGCAAATTGGTTGTATCATATGGACTTTTGCATTTACTCGTATTTAGTGATCATATGATCTATATTCCAGAAAGCATGTTTTTAAAAATGTGAAAATCTGGTTTTGTGTATGTGTGTGTGTGTGTGTGTGTGTGTGTGTGCACGCTTTTATATGACATTAGCTTATTTCCTGTTCATGATTCTTTGATTCAAGAAGGCACTTTTTGTGCATATACTGTATATACAGTAACATAAAAGACACGATGAGACCCTCCTGGCGATGAATTAGGAAAGTGAATCATTTAAATAAATTTAGGATATTGGAAAACTTCTAGGAATGCAATGAAAGAAAAAAATATATACTATGAGAATTACATTAGGGAATGTGCATGAAAGCAGGGCATAATCTAAAAAGTTCTATCTAAATATACTTTATCAGAGGTTGAGCGTAGGGAGGAATTTTTGAAAGTGTATCCACTGGATTGGTGGACACTCATTCAATAAATGGTGAGCACTTGCTTATATAAGGCAAAAGGGGCATCATGAACATTAACGGCCTTTCTGAGAAATACTAGAGTTGAGCTTACAGGGGGTTTTAAGTGCATAGGTGATGAACGGAAGGGGAAGAGTGCACGGGGGGAATATTTTCAAGAAGCTGAAGAAAATATTGGTGATCGTACATTTAATAAATTGGGTTGGGTATGATTTAGGACTTTTAAATGTAAGCATTAGATACGTTGCTCACTAAAGTTAATTCTTAACATTCAGCAGAGTTGTAATATGTTTTGTTCAGATGAGATTCTATAATTCACTTTCTAATTTAAGGGAAACTTAAAGCAGGTAATTTTCTAATGTGGAATGAGGCTCCATTATGAATTTAACCAGTTAGAAATGTGATCTTTTATGAAAGATCATTAATAAAACAATAACTTTGGTTTATTTATATACCACCTAAGTGTTATATAGGAAACTTTGTTGGGTGGCTGTGGGTTTTGGTTACTATGTGATATGGTCTCTGTCTTTACCAGTGGAGAGTTAGGTTAATTACAGATTAATTACATTTTGAGTGTTTTAGTTTTGTTCCTTGAAACTAGGCAAGACTACTTTTGATGACAATGAGAAAAAATCAGTCAGACATTTTTCCATCTTCTTTTATAGCTGGAACATGAAAATGCCCAGTTAAGAAATATAAATTTCTCTTTGTCTGAAGCCCTTCATGTCCACTCATTGACAAGCATGATCCTGGATGATGAAGGTGTTTTGGGCAGCATTGAGAATTCTTTTCAGAAGTTCCATGCTTTCTTGGATCTCCTTAAAGATGCTGGGTTAGTTCATTTCTCTTCATGGCGTTCTTCTCTTTGCGACTATAATGGTAGTTTGCTGAGGAACTGGAGCAATTTTCATCACTTACATGGCCATAGTTAGTGTAATTATAGGTAATATAAGTTGACTTTTTAAAATGAGGAATTAAATTTTTTAAGAAATGCAAATAGGGAAGCCTGCTTTGGTAGAGTGGGGAGCTCATTATAAAAGAGTAACCTGTAGACAGAGTAATTAGTAGGTGTAGTTTTTTGTAAAGACTAAATTGAAGGCAGTTTTCATTGAAAATATTCGGGAATGCATGAGAATTTTCCTATCTTTCACTTATTGCTTGTTTGATAAGTCTGAATTAAAGTTATTTTTGCCTTAGACATAAAAATTATTATTAATCTGCAGGGAGGATATAGGTCAGTGGTTCTCAACCGTGAGCAATTTTGCTGGAAGAGGGAAGTGGAGGTTGATAGTTGATGGAGTGGTGTTTTGTCAGTGAATGAATTGGTGTTGGTGTTGGGAAGGAAGGAACAAATACATTCTTGGAAACTGGAGGAAAGGTGGTAAAGAAGTGTGGGAATAGAGGTGTGAGAGGTAGTGGACGGGGTGCATGGTAGATGTTGAAGCTGCTAGTCAGTGTTTAAAATGGAGCAGTAAAAGGCAAGGAGATGGGATTTGTCCTAGAGGATGAATCTGGAAAGGGCTGAGAATTTGGGGGAGAGAGAGGCTTGTAGTCAGTCTGGAGTAGGATGTTGGCTTTTAAGATTTTAGAAGTATTTCATGATTGTAGGTCTGGGGAAATCTAAACTGCTCTTCTGTGATTATAATAACCTTTGTCCTTTCTCCTTTCCTCCTCTGGTCCAGGCTTGGGCAGCTGGCCACAATGGCTGCTATAGATCAGTCAGATTTTCATTTACTAGGTCGTCCCCAGATGAATTCTGCTGTTAGTAGTCCACGTAAAGAAGAAAAGAAGGCACTTGAAGAAGAAAAATCAGAATCAAAACAGGGTGCCCCAGGACCAACGCAAAATCTCCAAGTAAGTGGACAGAACAGCACTTAAGGATTCTAAGAATGATTAGCAAAAAGGAAATGACCAAGTCAGAGAGAAAATAATATTGGTCAGTCTCTAATAGTTCACATGCTCGGGAGGTAGAAGACTCTGGAATCCTTTCCAAATCTGAGATTAGTAAATGTGGGCCCGTTTCATGATACTGTATTGTTGTAAATAAGGAGACTGGAAGTTCTTTAGAAAATTTATGAGTTAAAGCAAACTATCCTTAATGAAGAAAGAAAACATTAGAGAAAATATTCCAGATTTTAAATTGTATAAATGTCTATTCATATTTTATCTAGGTTTCTATTTGTATGCAGTCAGCTTGCAATGAAGGAACACTAATGAAGGTACACATACTGATATAATTTTTAAAATAAGTAATCCAGACATAGGTAATAGGTAACATATTACAGTGCATGGTTATGGGAATGGGAGGGGAAAACCTGTCAGCTTTTCCTCTAGCCTTACTTGGAGCCCCCATCAACCAGTCTCAGACTGGTCTTGGGAACTGACAGCTTGAGAACACAGTCTGGTCACAAACTATATACTGTTTGCATGTGCCTGGAGGATAGAAAAGAAATTAATTTTCTTACAGAGTAGGGTTTTATTTTTAGTGAGGGAAAGGAAATGGGTAATAACTACCCCAGTCACCAAAGTCTGAAAATGTAGCAGACATAGCCTTGGATATAGCTAGGTTAAGCTGAGAATCACTTGGCAGGATATAATTAGAGAAAAACTGGCTCTGAAATCTTCTGAATAATCAACTGACTGTGTTAATAATAAGATCACAGAGTAACATTGAAGTTTTGAACTCTACTTTTTAATGGTTGGCTTTGTTCATCGCTGAATTTTTGTCTTGTCTTTTGTCTTTCCCTCCAGTTTCAGAAAATTGCAGGTGATGCTGGGATTCCTTTGCCTGTCGACTCCTTCCACGTCCCAGTCTCTACTCAGGAGGCCTTAGAAACTTCCAGAGACAACCTGGGGGTCGCAGTCACAGAGCAGCGGCAGGAGTCTTTTGAAGATTTCATTGCTAGAACATGTTCTCCTTCAGCAGACGTCATTTCTGGAACTGGAAGTCAAAGAAAAGAAGAGGAATTACCTAGAAATAGCAGGTCGTCTTCAGAGAAAATGAGCAGAGCATAATATACCAAAAACTACTCTGCTAAGAAACAACCTGGGAAGGACCTGCGTTCCTGCTCTGACTCACCTGTAAAGCAGAAAAGCAAAGGAATTGGGCAAAATAATTCTTTGCTTCATGAACCAACTAGAAGTGAGTCTTCGAAAAAACACATTTCTGTTAAGAAAGAGAGTACGATAGTGACTGTTTCTTCAAAGACAACTAAAAGTAAACTCCGTCTACTAGAACATTCTGAAAGTGATACTCTTGGATCTGATTGTGAATTTCCAGAAAGCATCCATATTCCATCACGCCTAACATAGGTCTAAATCTTTTAAAATCCTTTAAAATTATGTTTTTGCCTTCAAATTTTAATAAATTACTTATGTTTTTATTATAGCATATGGTGGTTTCAGTTACTTTACTGGAAGCCATTAGAGAAAGATTTATCTATACTTTTTTATTATAATGAAAGTTTTGGTGTACTTTTCCTTGTGACACTTTGCACCATTCACTCAGCTAGTGTTTACTGAGGACTTCATATGTACAGTACTTTTCTGGGTGCTATTGCTTTCAGCAGTGAACAAAATAAAGCCTTTACTCTCCTGGAACTAACACTCTGTGTTGGGAGAAAACATAAACAACAAAGCAGGGTAAGGGGTAAAAAGATATGGGAATGATAAATGGAATAGTTTTACCATTTGGTTAAACATCAAACTATTATAAATCACATGGCCAGAAGCCATTGAGGTATTTTAATTCACAATAACCAGAGAGCCTCAAACATTTACCAAGGCACTTAACCGTGTTTATGGATTACAGCAATGCTCTGAGGTAGGGAACTGTTACCATCCCCGGTTACAGATGAGGAGTCTGAGGAGACATTATGTGAGTTGCTCAGAATTACACAGCTGTAAGTAAGTGGGAAGCTGCGATGTGACCCGAACCCATGCTCTATTTTTTTTAATGTATGGACTTTATTATGTTTCATTTGTTTCTGATTTATGTGAATTTTTTCTTTAAAGATTTTTTCTGATGTCGACCATTTTTAAAGTGTTTATTGCATTTGTTACAGTATTGCTTCTGTTTTATATTTTGGTTTTTTGGCCGCAAGGCATGTGGGATCTTAGCTCCCCCACCAGGGATCAAACCCTCACCCCCTCCATTGGAAGGCGAAGTCTTAACCACTGGGCCACCAGGGGAGTCCCCCTTATGTGACTATTTTTATGGCAATTTTTTTAAATTTTATTTTTTTATTGATGTAGAGTTGAATTACAGTGTTGTGTTAATTACTGCTGTACAGGAAAGTGACTCAGTTACACATTTATATACATTCTTTTTCGTATTCTTTTCCATTACGGTTTATCACAGGATATATAGTTCCCTGTGCTCTAAAGTAGGACCTTTTTGGTTTTTTAAAAATACATCCACTTTTTAAAAATAAATGTATTTATTTTTTTATTTTTGGCTGCGTTGGGCCTTCTTTGCTGCATGCAGCCTTTCTCTAGTTGCTGTGCGCGGGCTTCTCATTGTGGTGGCTTTTCTTGTTGCAGAGTACGGGCTCTAGGTGCATGGACTTAAGTAGTTGTGACATCGGGCTTAGTTGCTCTCTGGCATGTGGGATCTTCCCGGACCAGGGCTCGAACCTGTATCCCCTGCATTGGCAGGCGTATTCTTAACCACTGCGCCACCAGAGAAGTCCCATGTAGGACCTTTTTGTTTATCCACCCTGTATATACACCAGTTTGCATCTGCTAATCCCAAACTCCCAATCCAACCCTCTCCCACCCCCTTCCCCTTGGCAACTACCAGTCTATTCTCTACGTCCTTGGTTATGTTTCTGTTCACAGATAGGCAGAACCCAGGCTCTTAATTACTTTGTTATCCTGTTTCCTTGTTGTTAAGAGAAGAAGGGTTTAAGGAAGGCACCGAGAGAGAAGCCAGTGAGCACTAGAGATGCAAAAGAGTGGGGCTGTCAGAAAGCACACCTGTCTCCTTCCCCCATCTGAGCAGAATTTTTAAACGGCAGAGTATGTAAGAGTATGTGATGACATATCTCTGGATTCAATTATGTCTCCCTGGTAAAACATGCACAGATAACTCTTTAGTTCAATCAGAGTAAAAGGTGAGATCAGAGAAAAGCTGGAGTGTCAGATTTCTTCTAAAAGGTCCTGCCTGATTGTTACTAAGGGGGCTACTACAGTACTAGTTAGTTCATTGGTCATGGATTGAGTGTTAGAGGAGTGAAACAATGAGCAAGATGTAGCGTTGGCCCTTTAGCAGTGGAGTGAGAGGGGAAGACGCACAGCAGATTGTCTCATCCTGCACGTGACATGCTATGACGGGCATATTCAGGGCGTTTAGTCAGTGTTTGTGGAAGAAGAGGGGGAGCTGTGAGGCAAAGAAAAGTCATCTAAAGAGGCAGTCCCTAAGCTAAGTCTTAAAGGACTCGTGAGAAACTGGTGAGTCAGCGGTGCAAGGCAAGGATACCCAAGGCAGAGAGGACAGCGGAAGTCCAGAGCGTGAGTGTGCGAGGGGTGTGTCACGGAGCCACAGGCTCAGGCTCTGGAGGATCAGTGCAGTGTCCCCAGGCAGTGGCAAGTGCCCCTAAAGGAGGCCGCGAGGAGGAGAGGGGGTCTTAACCACCCACGTGCGTGGAGCTGGCTTCCTCAGAAAACAGCTCAGAATGGAAAGCACAAGTTCAGGTGGCATTTTAGACCACTGACGCCAGTGTGGATGAGCAGTTTGAAGAAGCCTGGAGACAATTACGCCCCAGTCTTCTGAGGAGCAGCGTGTTTTATTTTCAAGTGGGACTTTCACGCTGCCACCTCCTCTCCTGTCCCTACTGAAAGGTTCATAGGCCGGCAGAAGGGAGAACCTGGCTTAAGTAAAGTTAATCGGGTTTCTTTACTGTACAGCTCCTCGGGGCTGCTGCAGGCTAGTGTTCATTCTGGATCGTCACAGCAGGCGTACGGTACACAGCCATCCTCAAAGCTATTTGACTCTAGAGTCCTCTTTAATAGAAGTGTCTAACAACTGGTTCCACCAAACTGCAATTTGGTAACTTCTAGACCAGGTAATAGCAAGAAGCAAGGGGTCTGAAATAAGGTATAGATGAAGGGAGGAAATAAGTTCTAATTGTATTTGGGAAATTACAAGCAAGACTTGATCTTGGGAAGTAAGGAAGAAGTAGGAGGTGGAGGCTGAAGCCCCATCTGTGTGACTAAGGTTGGGTGGTGGTATCATTGAGTTTGGAAATAGGGGATAAAGAACTGAATTGGGGAAAAGACTTTAGTTCTGGACATGTTGAATTGTAAAGCACCTGTAGAGTTCAGGAGACAAACTGGTAGATAACTGGACATGCACGTGAAGACATGGAAAGATAAAAATTTGAATGTCATCAGCACATATCAGCAGTCATTAAAGTCATGAACGTGGATGAGATTTCAGAGAATTGTGAGTACTGACAACGTTTAAGTAATAAGCAGAGAAAGAATTCTGGGAAGGAGAGAGGTGATAGAGTTTCAAGAAGGAGGAAGTAGATGACAGTGTCATCCTTCAGAGAATGTGAGTGACCGTTGGATTTGGGCAGTTAGGTCCCCAGTGACCTTAGAGCAGTTCAGTGAAGTGGTGGACAAGAAGCCAGATGGCAATGAATTGAGGGTGTAGGGCTGCCTGTGGCGGCCAGGTGGGGCTAGGTGAAGACAGTGGGAATAGGCTACTCTGAAGGAGTTTGGATGAAAGGAGAAAATAATTAGCAAAAAAGAATTTTTTAGAATGAGAAGGACTTATATTTTATATGTTGAAATGAAGGAACCGATAAAGGAGATCCTGAAGATGCAGATAATAATTTAGAGAATTGGGGAAACATGGACATATGAATAAGAAAAAAACCTTGCACAGTATATAAAAATCACTTGTATCCTTCGAGTTGGATGGATACTGGTAAGTTTGGGAGGAAATAAAGGTAAGAAGAGATAGAAGTTAAATGAATTTATACTGATAGCCTCAGTTTTCTTTGATACAGATTTTCAGAGACACATATATACACATACATAATTACAGTTTTAAAATTCTTTCATAGTTACATGTTTTATTAATCACGTCTGAGAAAAGTCATTGATTTTCATTTTGTACCCCATTATCTTGTAAGGACAAGATACAGTGACAACGTCCAAGCTTTTTGCATATCAGAGCTGAAACTGAAAGTATCTCCATAATTGAAATTTCACTTCTTATTTGTAATAAGTTTATCCTTAGGAGGATACTTTCATAGTATTTGATCACAGATGAGTTTGGGCATTGCTGTCACTCAATAATGTTAAGCATCTGTCAGGTTCTCTCCTATACTATATATTAATTTTTTCTCCGTTAAGCAAATATTTTTTGGCGGCCTGTGGGAATAAGATACACCTAGGTCCTTTTTCCTTGGTATATTCACAAAAGCCTCTGAAAGTAAATTTCCAAGTCAGGCCATATTAAGGCCTGGCATAATAAGTTTTCATCGTTAAATTTTTTTTGTGTTTGTGGGTTTTTTTTGTTTTTATTTTTTTGAAGCAAGGATAAGACACTGTCTTAACTCAGTAGTTGTCCATTCATTAATAAGTCAAAGAAGACATTGATGAAGCATGGTATTTTGAATATCCTTTCCACAGAATAGGTAATGGGTCATCCTGAAACTCTGGTGAGATGCTTATCACTTTCAGATTTTGGAGTGGCAGAGAAAACCCTATTACACCTTGAATTATCACTAGAAACATAAATTCAGCCAAATAAAAACAGTGCCTGTGCCTACTGAGCTTGTCAATTTCCATCTCAGCAAAAGTGAACATTTCTCCTTTAGATTAAAATCAAGAAAATCCCCTCTGTCCAGGATGCAATAACCGGGTGCACAAAAGAGGAAAACTGAAGCTATTCCCTCTTTACACCTGAACAGTGAATTCATTCTGATATCAAATATTTTTTATGATTCTGTTATGACCAGGTGCTTTATTGTTTAGAGATCAAGTTACTGTTCATTCTTGGTAAGTAAGAAAAATCCATGTTTTAGGACTCCGAATAGTAACTTATATTTTATATATATATTAAAAATATATCTATGTAATATATATTCCACCTATTCAACAAAATTATAATTTTCATCATCTCTTATGAATGATGAACTGTATTCACTCTGGAAAGGGCTTATAGGGAATTAAATTCTCCATATACTTTTTATATAAGACCATGGAAACCAAATTCTCAACTGGGAGCAAACTTAGGTTTTGCTATGAAGATTTATGCTTGCCTGGCCTTAGAGTGATAGGCCACCAACTCAAGGTGGAGTATTTTTCCTCTAAGTTACTTTCATTGATGCCACCCTGAACAAATTTGGAGGGAGTATTTTTTGAAATA